TGATCTTAAGGGTACAATTCAATGAAATTTTGCATTTTGTATACACCTGTGTAGTCACCACCTAGATCAAGATAGAGAACTTTCCTGCACACCAGCAAGTTCCTTTGTGCTCCTTCCTGGTCAATACTTCCACCAGCAGTAGCCACTATTCTAACTTCTATCACCATTGGTTAGTTTTGTTTGTCTTTAAGTTGCATATAATTGGAATCATGAAGTAAGATATTTATATTTGTTTTTTTTTTTTTTGAGGAAAATTAGCCCTCAGCTAACTACTGCCAGTCCTCCTCTTTTTTGCTGAGGAAGCCTGGCCCTGAGCTAACATCCGTGCCCATCTTCCTCTACTTTATATGTGGGACACCTACCACAGCATGGCGCCCCAAGCGGTGCCATGTCCACACCCAGGATCCGAACCGGCGAACCCCGGGCCGCCAAGAAGCTGAACGTGCGAACTTAACTGCTGTGCCACGGGGTCAGCCCCAATATATTTGTTGAACACAATTTCAGTGAGATTCATCCATGTTGTTGCACATATCAGTGATTCATTCTTCTTCATTGCTGCATAGTCTTCCATTGTATGAATATATCACAATTTGTCAATTTTCCTGCTACTGGACATTTATGTTGTTTCTGGGTTTTGACTCTTGCGAATAAAACTGCTATGGATACCATGCTATGCTCATGGCTTTCGGTGCACTCATTTCTCTTGGGTCTAATCACAGCAGTTTGATTGCTGGATCTCGGTGTAGCCATATATTGCGCTTTAGTCAACACTCCCAAACGGTTTTCAACCCACCCTCTTCAGCCCGCTGCTCTGTAGGAGAATCTCAGTTGCTCTGCATCCTCAGCAACATTTGGTGTTGTCAGCCTTATTTTAGCCATTCTGGTGGGCTTGGGGCTTGGGGCTCTCTTGGTGGTTTAAAATTCCATTTCTTTCAAGTGCCATCGCACAACTTTTCATATGCATATTGGCAATTGGGTATCCTTTTTTGGGGGAGGTACCTGTTGAAGTCTGTGGTAGCTCATCTCCAAAGACGACCCCCAATGAATCATGCCTCTTAGCATATTTCTGTCCTTTGTAGTCCCCTCCTCCATGGAATCTGGACTGGGCTGTGACTCACTTTAGCCAATAGAATGCTGCAGAAGTGGTGCTGTGCCAGTTCCAGGCCTAAGCCTTAAGAAGGCATGGCAGCTTCTGCTAGGAAGCCCAGCTACCCTGCTCGAGAGACCGCGTAGAGTGACCACAGGCAGAGAGGAGAGCTTGAGACTACAGGCGGGAGAGAGGCCCAGCCATCCCAGGTGAACCCCCAGACGTTTCCAGCCCCAGCTGCACCTGACTGCAGCCACATGAAAGACGCCAGGCAAGACCAGCAGAACCACCCAGTGGACCCCAGTCCCCAACAAAACCCAGAGAGATGATAAAATGGATTTCGTTTTAAGTCATTAGGTTTGGGGTTGGTTTATTACATGACAGTCGATAACTGAAACGTCAACAAAATCTTTTGCCTTTTTTTAATTGAGTAGTTTATCTTTTCCTTAGTGCTTCTTAATTAAGGATTCTTTAAAACAAAAGTTTTTCCATTGCAAGTAAGACACATAGTCATATCAATCCATTCATTTTCAAATACAGGATTTTTATCAGCTACTTTTCATTTTTTGGTGGCGGCCATAGCTAGTGTTAACTTTTATTCATAAAAATCAATACTCATTCCCGGGGGCTGGCCCCGCGGCCGAGTGGTTAAGTCCATGCACTCCGCTACAGGCGGCCCAGTGTTTCATTGGTTCGAATCCTGGGCGCAGACATGGCACTGCTCATCAGACCACGCTGAGGCGGCATCCCACATGCCACAACTGGAAGGACCCACAGCAAAGAATATACAACTATGTGCTGGGGGGCTTTGGGGAGAAAAAGGAAAAAAATAAAATCTTTAAAAAAAAAAATCAATATTCATTCCCACATATGTACATTGGCTGTTTCATAAACGACCCTCCTGACTCCCACGATGCCCAAATTGAGCCAGTGTGCATTCACAGCCAGCATGGCCAAGAAATACCAGTGCACAACTGGGTCAATGTTGGTGCCATTTGAGCCTCAACTTCGCCATCTGAATATGAGGGACTTCCTAAAATTTGATCTCAGGACACATTGGGAAGATAGGTGACATAATAGTCCCCACTCTCTGGCTGTGGTAGGCAGAATAATTGCCTCCAAAGATGTCTATGACCTAATCCCCGGGAACAGTGAATATTTTACCTTACATGGCAAAAGGGGCTTTGCAGATGTGACTAAGGGTAGGGGACCTTACCCTTAGGTAAGGGACCCTGAGACAGGGAGACCTGGATTATCAGGTGGGCCCAGTCTAATCCCATGAATCCTTAAACTCAGAGAATCTTTCCTGGTTTTGGTCAGAGAGAAAGATGTGAAGACAGAAAAAGTGTCAGAGACATGCAACACTGCTGCCTCTCGAGATGGAAGAAGGGAGCCATGAGCCAAGGAATGAGAGCAGCCTCTGGAAGCTGGAAAAGGCGAGGAAACAGATTGTCTCTTAAAGCCTCCAGGAAGGAACACAGCCCTGCTGACAATGTGATTTCAGCCCAGTGAGACTCATGTCAGACTTCTAACCCTAAGAACTGTAAGATAATAAATTTGTGTTGTTGTAAGCCACCAGTGTATGGTAATTTATGTCAGCATAAATTAACAAATCCTGGAGGTTCTAGAGCTCCTCAGGCACTCATGTGTAGGCAGTTGCCCCTCCAAAGGTAAAGAACCAGTCGTTTATTCAACAAGCACTCAGAAAAATGAGGCAATGGCAAAACAAAGGTAGGAAATAAGAGAGAGCGTGTAGGGAGGTTACAGCAAAACATGGCTGCCGTGAAGACCCTCACCTACCAACTGCTCCCGCCAGCTCAGTAGTTCTCAGGACCTCCTTACAGTCTTAACAATTAGTGAGGAATCCAAAGAGTGTGAGCTTGTGTGGGTTATGGCTGTCAATATTTACTGCATTTGAAATTAAAGCTGAGAAATAGTGTATCAGAAAACTAATACACTAGCTAATCTATAATTTCCCCTTCCACTGATCAGACCAGCAGAGAACCGTGTGTCCATGTATTGCCTCTCTTACTTCGAGGCATCCCCTATATAATTATTTCATTGACTGTAGTTTGATTATGGTGTTATTGGCTGACATTAAAGCAGCTCTATAAAAATCAACCTTAGAAACTCTTTGCTGTTTCTGTCATAATGATGTTGTTGGGGAAGATTTCATTATATCCTCTTCATGAGAACCTGCAGGAGAAATTTATTTTCTGTCCTCGTACCTGGAGAAGACTCGTCCTTGGGTTTCCCTCTTCGTATTGGCTGTTAGGAAGCTTATAGCAGTGATTCTCAATGAAGGGCATCTTAGGATGGAGGAACTATCAGAATCACCCAGGAAGCTTTTGCAAGCTGCACTTGCACCCGCCGGAAATTCCAATCTGTCTTCCTAGAGGAAAGTGTTCCCCCTTCCTCCCACAAGATCCATTGCTTTGGCAAGTTACTGTGCTATTTAGAGGAGTAAGTCCTATTCCTCAGATCTGTTGGTTGGGAAAAGGGTTAAGAACTATTGTCTTTGGGGCTGGCCCTGTGGTCGAGTGGTCAAGTTCGTGCGCTCCGCTGCAGGCGGCCCAGTGTTTCATTGGTTCGAATCCTGGGCGCGGACATGGCACTGCTCATCAAACCACGCTGAGGCAGCGTCCCACATGCCACAACTAGAAGGACCCACAACGAAGAATATACAACTATGTACCGGGGGTCTTTGGGGAGAAAAAGGAAAAAAATAAAATCTTTAAAAAAAAAAAAAAAGAACTATTGTCTTAGAGCAGCAGTTCTTGAATAAGGTCTGGGAACTCTTGGAGGGGTCCCCAAGACCCTTTCACGGGGTGGCCAAGGCCAAAACTATTTTCATGATGTCAAGTTTATAATATAGGTTTCCAAAGGCTACTCGACACGTGGTATCCCAACAGGCTGGATGCAGACGCAGACATGAGAATCCAGCCGGCTTCTACTAATCTGGACACTAAAGAGGTTTGCAAAAACCTAAAATATCACTCTTATCACTCCTATTTTTTGTTTTGGAAAATACAGTTATTTTTCATAAAATGTTATTTATGTTAACATACAACAGATTTATTTTTTATTTTTATTTTTTGCTGAAGAACATTCATCCTGAGCTGACATCTGCTGCCAATCTTCCTGGGTTTTTTTGTCTGTGAGCTGCCACCACAGCACGGCCACTGACAGAGGAGTGGTGTAGGTCCGCAGCCAGGAACTGAACCTGGGCAGCTGAAGCGGAGAGCGCCGAACTTAACCACTAGGCCACCAGGGCTGGCCCAGATTTATTTTTTAAATGAATTGTAAGTATTTTAGGTATTTCTCAGTTTTAATTTCAAATGCAGTAAATATTGACAGCCATAACCCACACAAGCTCACACTCTTTGGATTCCTCACTAATTGTTAAGACTGTAAGGAGGTCCTGAGAACTACTGAGCTGGCGGGAGCAGTTGGTAGGTGAGGGTCTTCACGGCAGCCATGTTTTGCTGTAACCTCCCTACACGCTCTCTCTTATTTCCTACCTTTGTTTTGCCATTGCCTCATTTTTCTGAGTGCTTGTTGAGTAAATGACTGGTTCTTTACCTTCGGAGGGGCAACTGCCTACACATGAGTGCCCGAGGAGACCTAAAACCTCCAGGATTTGTTAATAACAAGTCTGAAGTTGTTACCACCATGTTCACTTTTCTAGGGAAACTGGACTAATAGAGTAATATTATTATTATTAGCTTACTTTTTACTTTTTTTGAGGAAGATTAGCCCCGAGCTAACATCTGCTGCCAATCCTCCTCCTTTTTTTTTTTGTGCTGAGGTAGATTGGCCCTGAGCTAACGTCCGTGCCCATCTGCCTCTATTTTATATGTGGGATGCCTGCCACAGCGTGGCTTGATCAGCAGTGTGTAGGTCTGCACCAGGATTCAAACCAGCAACCCCCAGGCCACCGAAGTAGAACATGTAAACTTAACTGCTGTGCCACGGGGCGGGCCCCTATTATTAGCTTATACAATGGGTAAAAAAAATAGATATATGTATGTGGATATTCTTTCTTTGACCATCCATTTCCGGTCTCCACCCTTCTCCATCCTGATCTGTTCCCCTGGACAGTGGCCTTTATGCACCACATCATGGGCTCCCTTGCACTCTGGTTTCTGGTAGGTTTCAGACGATGGAAAGAGCTGGCAGGTAACCAGAGGGTAAGAGGAGAGTGAGATGGGGATTTTTGTCTCCCAGCTCCCTCTCTGAAAAGCCATAGATTGATGAAGGTTGCATTCCTTCACTGAAGGTGCTCCTACTGGCTGGCCTCTCCTATGACTGTAGCTCTGTCACTTTCTCAGTTCCAGAATCTGCTCCCTCTCTTTGCTTCTTCAGGCAGGGCTCTCCATTACTGCTAGCCCTGGGGTGCTTCACTAGCCTTTGTCAGTTTCCCTTAACCCTGCCTACACCTCTGTAAATAGTTCCTTCATCAAACTCTCCTCAATTCCTCTTTGAGGCGCCACATGTTTCTTAAGTGGACTCCTATGGATATACACTGAGAGGTTAAGTGACTTTCCCAAGGTCGTACAAATAGTAAGTAAAAGTACTCACTCTAACACAGAGAAAGTAGTCTTTTTTGGCCTTGCCAGCCTGCCCAGTCCCCTCCCAGAATCCTATGCCCTGCCCAACCTGCCGGAATCTGTGATCCTTTTGTTAGGGATGGGATTGAATTCCCTGGGGCTCCTGTTCCGGACCTGGCCAGCAACACCAGTAACCAGAGCTGTGTGAGAAGAAAAGAGCAAGCCATTGGGGTAGCCACACCCCAAACAGAGGTGAGGTCTCAGGTGAGTCATGCCAGTGAGGGGCCACCTCCCCTGTCCCAACGACCACCGCTCACCTGCAGCCCTGCCTCACCAAGGACCCAGAACATTGGTCTCCCAGCCCCTGGCTGTCTTCTCCTTCCACCTTTGCCCACAGGGTTCTCCATTCCTCCCTCCCCCCAGCAACAGGTGTCCTGGAGCTAGGACATCTGCCTCCCACCCCGACCGCGGGCCTCCAGAGATATGAGATGGGTACAGGGATCTGGGTGGGGCCTTCAGGCTCCCTACTTCCCCCTTCCAGGCCCAGATCCTCTCAGATTCCCAGAGATGAGCTCCAGCCAGGCGGGGAGGGGTGGGGGGGGCAGAGGGGTGCTCCTGGGACCATCAGGAGTCACGGGCTCCTAGGCAGGGACAGAGCTGTGCTGGGAGCCATGTTACCAACGCCTATACAGCTGTCTGACAGGGTCCGGGCTGAGAAGGGCCGAGGGGTGCAGGGACGCCCCTTGGTGAAGAATGGCCAGCTGACACCCCTGATGTTTTCTGAAATGTATGCATGCTTTCTATCAAGGTTATGACTATACTTGTTCCTGCTTTTTATTCTTGAAGATATATAATTTAACTTAGCTTTTCAGCCTGATGCCTTACTAGCAAAATGATATTTTCTCCAGGCAGTGTGCTCAAGGGACAAATAGTCCTGCCCCCTGAAAGACAAAGGAATGCTTTCACCCCCTAAGGGGTGCGGGAATGTAAAGATGTTTAACTACCTGCTGAGAACGCACATAGTCCTGGGGATAAGATACCCTGGAGTTGCTTTTTGTTCCCATTAACCATCTGAACAATGACCAGATGATCGATGGGGGCAGGGGTAGCTCCCCCAGGACGTGAACAGACGGAATGCTGTTCTGTCTGGATGTCTGGACCTTCTCTCTGCCTTTGATCTAACTTTACCATAAATTACCTTTGTTTCTGAACCCATAAATCTATACATGAAGAATAGAAGATTCAAATAGACCCCATCCCTGACGTCAATATATATTCGTCCCAAAATAGTAGAGGAAGTCATTTCTATACCCTTTAAAGTTTAGATGTTAAATTTAAACTTGTTCTACTACAACAGATGTTAAGCTACCTATCTCCTTTAGTTTAGAGACAATAAATAGTAAATTGTGGAAAAGATGATCATTAACCTTATGCTCTATAGGATGGGATGCTAATAAAAATTCTTGTGCTCGCTTTGTACTTCCTTATCTCTCTGAGAATATTTGTAGGGCTGTTTCGGTACTAATCCTGAAAAATGAAAAAAAAAAACGACACTTGTGCACAGTAAAGACAGACTTGATTGCACTGACTCAAGTCTCACGTCTCTTCCTTCACTGCGCCGACTCCGTCCCTCCCTCAGGAACCTGGACTGGGCTGGAGCAGGACTCCGGCAGAGCTGTGGCAGGGAGCAGACCTCCACCCATCTCTGCGCCTCCAGCGGACTCAAAAAAGTGCCATGTCCCAGCACCTGCTCCTCCCACTTGTGATCCTCGGTAACCTCAGGGGACAGGGGATGGCTGCAAGAAGCCGGGGTCCTAGCATCGGGGGGAGATGGAAAGCAGAACTTTGGGGCTCTGTTTGGGGAGTGGGGCGTCAGAGGAGGAAGGAGATGGGGAGGTCAGTAGAAGGAGAGAGGGAGGTGTCAGGCGGGAGAGGAATAGTGTCTGACAGGAGGGGGAAAGGAAGCCTGGGTGCAATGGAGAGGTGGAGTTGCTGTAAAGCTTGCAGGGAGGGAGTCATGGAGAGCACATTGTAAGAACAAGTCTCCAGCTTCTTCCTGACTCCCTCTTTCCAGCCATCGGCCCCATCCCAGGAGGCTTCCAGAACTCAGGTAAGGCAGCTGGACTGGGGGAAAGTCAGAAAAGATAGGAGGGGTAGCATGGGTGCTGATAGGGGGGCTGGAAGGGCAGGGAACTGGGGTAGAGAAAGGTGGGAGTGGGGGATGGAGAGCAGGAAGATGGCAGCTGGGCAGTGTCCTGGGCTGTGGCAGGGGCTTGAACTCACCAGCATCTTCCTCTCTTTACCCTCTGACTCGCAGCTCCCAGTCCTACCCAAGAAGAACCTGAGGATCTGGGTAAGGAACAGTGAGGCGAAGTCCTCAGATCTTAAAGCAAGTTAAGGCTAGCTGAGGGTGATGAGGAAGGTGGAAGTGACCAGAAACTTAGAAGCGCCGAGGTCCTCTCTGTTATTTGTTCGGTGGGGCAACCTGAGGCAGGTGACTGAGGGGGCTTCGTCCTGAGTTACCCGGGCCTGTGGCATGGGGGACAGGAGCGAGCCATGACCTCTGCGGTACCCCACTGCAGACTGCGGTCGCTCTGAGCCCTCTGCCCGCATCATGGGGGGCTCAGACGCGCAGGCGGGCACCTGGCCGTGGCAGGTGAGCCTGAGTCAGAAGGGGAACCACATCTGCGGGGGTTCCCTCATCGCCCCCTCCTGGGTCCTCTCCGCTGCTCACTGTTTCGTGAAGTGAGTATCCGCCCTTGTCAAGCCCCTCTCCCTCAAAAGCCAAGCGCGCCCCGAAGCCTGACCCCCGCGTATTCGAGGCTAACTTGGAGCCAAGCTGCCTCCGCCTCCCCGCCCTCCCCCGAAGCTGGGTGCTTTGCGGGGTATCCCGGTTCTGAGCTTGGTGGGGCCGCCAGCAGACTCGTCCCACCACTCCACCAAATATCTGAGTCTGAATTCCATCTTGCCAATGCCCCTTGAATCAACCACCTCCAAAGCAGATTCGCTTCTCCCTTTTTAAGGAGTGTATCTTAACCTCCATCGCTCTAGCCCCAAATCTGGATCCGACTCCGCCCCTCCTGGATTCCTGCTGACCCCACCTTCCCCCTGGCTCTGAGCCCCCACCTTCCATAGGGTCAACCTAATCCCTCCCCGCCTCGGCCGCGGTGCAGGAACGGGACCTTGGATCCCGCGGCCGAGTGGTCAGTACTGCTGGGCGTGCACTCCCAGGACTGGCCCTTGGACGACGCGCAAGTCCGCGCAGTGGCCGCCATCCTGGTGCCGGACAACTACAGCAGGGTGGAACTGGGCGCTGACTTGGCCCTACTGCGCCTGGCCTCGCCCGCCAGGCTGGGCCCCGCCGTGCGGCCCGTCTGCCTGCCCCGCTCCTCGCATCGCTTCGCTCCTGGCACAGCCTGCTGGGCCACCGGCTGGGGGGACGTGCAAGAGGCGGGTGAGTGAGGCGTGGGGGTCCCAGGAAAGAGGGTTATCGCAGAGGCGGAGCCTACTGAGCAGTCCTGGGGCGGGACTTTGGGGACCAGTCCTAAAAGCTGCGGTCCCGGCAGGGCGGGCCCACGGGGCGGGGCCTCGGGCGGAGCCTCGAGGGCTGGTTTCTGCTGGGCCACCGGGTAAGTGGTGCGCCTATCGCCACCTATCCTCCTCCCCAAAGGTTCTCAAACTGAGACCACTGAATCATCCCTCCATTCCCTCCTCCTCACCTTTCCTTCTAGCTTTTTCTTTCCTGGATTTAGAATTCGACCAGGGTTCCCATCCCAGCTCTGCTATTTCAGACAAAGCACTTCACGCAGTCCATTTCCTCTTCTGAAAATTGAGGAAAGTAGTGCCCAGTTCATGGCGTTGTTGGGTGGAGTAAATCAGAAAACCCATGTAAAGTTTATTGCACAGTGCCTAGCATAGCGGTAACTAATGCATTTTAAGATATTTGTACCCTCGGTGATCCATGTACTGCAGCACAGCCCCCAGGATTTAGTAACCATTCAGCACATATCAGTTTCTGCCCTCCTTTCCTCTCATCCTTCTTCCTCCCATCCTAACCTCCCCTACACATCTCTCTACTTCCCCACCTTCTGTCTTCTCCCTACTCACCCTCATTCACTCATTCAACAGATATTTCCTGAGCATCTCCTTGGGCCAGGCACTGTTAGGCATTAGAAACCCACCAATGAACATAACAAGCAAGAATCCCTGCCTTCTCAGAGCTTACATCCTAGCAGGTAGACAAACAATAAGTTGAATAAATAAGCAAACACTTATGTAAGCGGTGTGGGAGGAAACAGACCACTTTTCCATCCCCCATCATCCTCATTATCCAGTGCTACCTTTCCGTGTCAGCAAGGCCCCCACAATTATTCTGCGTCTGCTGTGATCAGACCTGTGCAGTGCCTGGGGCTTTGGTGAGGGTGCTTCAGGAGGAGATACTGCAGCCTCTGCTTGCAGGGGCCCCATCGGGGCAGGAAGTGACTAGGAAGGGTCATTCCAAGCACCTGGGAAGTCTGTGTGGATGAGGCCAAGCCATCGTGACAAAGGGCACCCAGAGCAGGAGATTTCTGGGGAGGTATTGTGAAGAGAAGACATAAGTTGGCATTACAGGAATGTAGGGTGGAAATGGAGGCCATCCTGGGGACCCAGGTGGGGCACAGTAGATGGAGAAGGGCCAGGTTGCCAGGCTGGAGCAGACCGGGCAGAGGCAACAAAGGCCGCAAAAGCTGCTGGGGCTGGATAACCAAAGCTTTCAAGTCAGACTGAGGGCCAGAGTACCCCCCAGCTCCAGAAAGCCCTGGGACAATACCAAACCTCCCTGGGTGACCCTTGTTTACAGCCCCAGACATCATCTGACCTCTCAGGACTCCGGGTCGGAGTGAGGGGGGAGAGGGGAGAGAGCTCTGTCCCACTCTCCCCCACCCCTTTCTGGATCCTAAGACTTTGTTTCCATCAAAAGCAGGTTCATCTCAGGAGAGGGCTGAGGCCTCAGGTTTAGACAATGGAATCCATTGATTGTTCCTGGTAAGATCAGAGCCGAGCTTTGAAAAAATTCCTCTGGCAGCAACAAGTGAAGGGTGGGTTGGGGAACAGACCAGTGAGAAGGCCGAGCCAATCATCCAGGCCCAAGTTTGTAGCTCACTGAACTTCAGTGAAAATGCCAGGAAGTCACACATGAGAGGTTTTCTGGACTTGGGAACTGATTGAGGAGGGGAAGTTGAGACAGGGGTCAGGGATGACACCCAGAATCCAGGCTTGGTAACTCAGTACAGGACCACATCTAGTCTCTATGACATCTTTGTTGAAAAGCATATCCTCTCAGGACCAACACAGCCCACGTCAGGGCTCAGAGCTTAGTGATTTTAGCCCCAACCTGCATCCTTTGTTGGCTGGGTGCCTTTGTGCAGTGTACAACCATCCATGACAGCTCTCACTGAGTGCTTTGATGGGGCCATTGCTGAGATGAGGATGTAGGAAGAATAACAGAGAGGAACGGCAGGAGATGATTAGTTTTGGATGTGAGGGGCTGAGGTGCCATGGGACATCTAGAAAAAGATGTCCAGAAAGCAGCCAGAGGGGACAAAGCCGAGCCATTGGAAGCAGAATTCTCCATACCTGCCTCACAGCATTTTCTCTCCGGTTCTGCCTACAGATCCCCTGCCTCTCCCCTGGGTGCTACAAGAAGTGGAGCTAAGGCTGCTGGGAGAGGCTGCCTGTCAGTGTCTCTACAGCAGGCCTGGCCCCTTCAACCTCACTTTCCAGCTACTGCCAGGGATGCTGTGTGCTGGCTACCGGGAGGGCCGCAGGGACACCTGCCAGGTGAGAGGAGCTCCCTGCACCTGCCTGACAGGACCAGGCAGAGCCCTAACCAATAGGAAGTGGTGTTAAAAATAGAGCTCATCTCTCTCATATCTCTGAACCTCATCTGCAAAAAAGAGGGCAAGATTGCCAGTAGATAGGATGGACGTGAAGATTATAAGTGGACAGAACTTGGGTCTCAACAAGTGGGCACTGTTATTTATGGCAGTACAGTGCAGGGGTTACTCTGGAGTGAGCTGGCCTGCTTGGAAGCCCAGCACCACCACTCATTAGCTGTGTGACCTTGGCCAAGTTATTTAACTTCTTTGTGTCCAAACTTTCTCATCTGGAAGATGAAGATGATAGTGTTACCTACCTCATAGGGTGCTTATGATGAGTAAATGAATTTATATATGTGAAAGCACTTAGAACAGTGCCTGGTCCTTAATAAGAGCTAAATAAATATTAGCTACTACTATTATTATTATTATTATCATTACCCCACATTCCAGCCCAGAGCACAGCACCTATTACTTAGTAGATACTCAATAAAGTTATTTTTAAAAAATGAATTAATCCTTAACAGAAGGAAATTTTCCAGATAACCTGCTGAAGACCAAAACATAGTATATTTTAACCATTTTTCCCAGAAACTTTCCTCAACTGGCACACATTTTTGAGGGCACTCAAGCATGCCTGGTGGTGACGGGGATTCAAGCTAGACGGTCTTCAGGGTCCCTCCCAATGATGAGGTTCCAGGACCTGTGGGCACAGTCCCCTGCCTTCTTGAATAGCACTGCAAACAATTCAAATTCCTCTAGACCAGTCTAGACCAGCGCTGTCCAATATACCTTTCTATGATGATGGAAATGTTCTTTATCTGTGCTGTTCAGCATGGTAGTTACTAGCCACGTTGGCTACTGAACATTTGAAATGTGGCTAGGGTGTCTGAGGAATGAATTCTTCATTTTACTTAATTTTAATTTAAATCGCCATATGTGGTTCGTGTCTACCATATTGGACAGCAGAGTTCTGGATGATTCTGAACCTTCTTTGTGACTCTCGTCAGGTCACAGAGATGCCCGGCCTGGATTCTAGAAATGTCTTTGGGACAATGCTCCAGCATTAAATGGCCCCAGAACCATTGTTTCAGTGTCTGTTCATTGTAGTTCCTCCTCCTTACTTGCTTTCAAACTGTCCCTTCTTGCTGCTTTGGATTGCCTATTTCTAACGGCCTCTTCCTCATGAATGCTGGCATCTCTGATTTACTTTAACAATTGGGTGAACTCAAAAACCCAAGACAGGGTTTGTTTGAACTAGTTAATGTGCAAGAATCATTTGCCTCCGAATGAGACCTGCAGGCCTCTCTGGCATGGCCTTTAATACATTAGCTTGGTGCTCTTGGCTTTGGATGCTCATCAACCGTTCTGCTTTACGAGGCTTTCTTCAGTTTAGAGTTGTAAGGAATACAGAGGACAAGGCACAGCCAAGGCAGGTTTCTAGAAGTTGGCTGTATGTTGAGCCAGCAAGAAGAGGTATAGAACCTTTGTGAGGTACTGGTGGGTATAAGCCGGTGGGTCCCTGGGCTGATCCCCTGACACTGAGTCATCTATCATCAGGGAGACTCTGGGGGGCCTCTGGTCTGTGAGGAAGGCAGCCGATGGTTCCAGGCAGGAATCACCAGCTTTGGCTTTGGCTGTGGAAGAAGGAACCGCCCTGGAGTCTTCACTGCTGTGGCGTCCTATGAGGCATGGATACGGGAACAGGTGATGGGCTCAGAGCCTGGGCCTGCATTTCCCACCCAGTCCCGGCAGCCCCAGTCAGGCCCCAGGGAGGCCCCAGATGAGAACTGCACCATCGCCCTGCCAGGTGAGGGGGCAGGACCCCTGGACATCCGGTGGACATGAGAGATTTGAGTTGGGGTAGAAATTGCTGGGGGTTCAGGAGGTCCTCTGACCCAGGTCTCTCACCCCTCAGAGTGTGGGAAGGCCACGCGGCCAGGGGCCTGGCCCTGGGAGGCCCAGGTGATGGTGCCAGGATCCAGACCCTGCCATGGGGCGCTCGTGTCTGAAAGCTGGGTCTTGGCACCTGCCAGTTGCTTCCTGGAGTGAGTAAAAACACACGCCTCCGGGCAGATTCTTGCCCCTCCCTCATCAGCCTGAGACCTACCTACCTGGCCCCAGCCCTTCCCCTGGGCGGGGCAGGGGTGTGGGGTCCCTTTGGGAGGTGTAGAATCCAACTCGCAAAGCGGGGTCCTAGTCTGTTGGGGGCGAGTAGAAGGGTAGTATAAGTTCCATCCAGGATGTGGGAGGCTGAGTAAGCAGTTTTCAGACCTCAGGAAGGGGATGGAGGCTCCTAGCCTGGGATACCGAGCCTAAGCCAGGGGTGCGGGGTTTGGAGCTGAGTCTGCAGGATCTGGCCCACATCCCCAGTCTCCCCATCCCGCGGCCCCATCAGTTCAGACCGCTCGCCTCGCTATCTGGACAACTGGCGCGTGCTACTGCCCTCGCGCCCGCGCGCGGAGCAGGTAGCGCGCCTCGTGCCGCACGAGAACGCCTCGTGGGACGACGCCTCTGACCTGGCGCTGCTGCAGCTGCGCGTGCCCGTGAACCTGAGCGTGGCCCCGCGGCCAGTGTGCTTACCGCAGCCAGAACACTATTTCCTGCCCGGGAGCCGCTGCCGCCTGGGTCGCTGGGGCCGCGGGGGTGAGCAGGGGCCCGGCGCGGAGCGGGGCGGAGTAGCTGAGGGTCCGACTCCGCCGCAGCGGGGGTTCGCTCCCTCTTCCTTCTCAGAGCCCGCGCCTCGCCCCAGCACCCTGCTTGAGGCGGAGCTGCTGGGCGGCTGGTGGTGTCACTGCCTGTATGGCCGCCAGGGGGCGTCAGTGCCGCCGCCGAGAGACCCGCCCCACGCGCTCTGCCCCGCCTACCAGGAGGAGGAGGAGGAGGCGGGCGGCTGCTGGGTGAGCGGCGCGGGAGGAGCCTGCGGGTCTGGGTTGGACCCAGAGAGGCCGAGGGGCTGGGGGCGGAGCCTTAGAGGGACTGGGATGGAGGCTGAGCGCTCTGGGGGCGGAGCCTGGCTATGGAGGACTTTCGGGAGGGGTCTGAGGGCGGACCCTGGGCGCTGTTGGGCCTTGTCGCTGCCCCTCCGTTTAAAGAGGATCCTAAAGCAAGGGCTGACTTCATACAGATTAGTATTGGAGCCCGGCTTGGAGGAGGTGGGACCTGGTGGACCTCGGGAGGTGGACCTCCTGAGTACAGGAGACTATGGAATCCAGGATGAGCCCCAGGACCTTTGATACCCTCTCACCAACTTGCACACACACAGAGGGACTGGCAAATGCACATGCTTTCTTGCTGCAGAATGACTCGAGTTGGAGCCTTCTGTGCCGGGAGGAGGGGACCTGGTTCCTGGCTGGAATCAGAAATTTGTCTAGTGGCTGCCTACGTCCCAGAGCCTTCTTCCCCCTGCAGACTCACGGCCCGTGGATCAGCCATGTGACTCGGGGAGCCTACCTAGAGGACCAGCTGGCCTGGGACTGGGGCCCTGAGGGAGAGGAGACTAAGATACAGAGTTGTCCTCCTGCCACAGAGCATGGTGGTGAGGAGGGCCTTTGGGGCCTAGTTCCTGGGGGTGCTTAGATCCATGGTAGGGGCTTCAGGGGTCAGCTGTGGAATCCCCACTGAGGTGGTCACCTCCTCTCCCTAGCCTGTGGCCTGCGGCCAGAGCCTGCTCCGATGGGGGTCCTGTGGCCCTGGCTGGCAGAGGTGCATGTGGCTGGAGATCAAGTCTGCACTGGAATCCTTGTGGCCCCAGGCTGGGTCCTGGCAGCCACTCACTGTGTCCTCAGGTGGGTCTCACTCATCTCCTGGGCAAGAAGGAAAAATTGGGAGATGGACCAGAGGACTCTTGCAATAGTGGGATATTTGCCCTTTAGGGCTCTTACAGCACAGGGAAACTGCTGTGAAGTGTTTTGAGACAAGAGAGAGATTCGGAAGGAGGAATAATGGAATTAGTGGAATGACCCTGGAGATTCATTCCACCCTTTCCCCTGGGCTAGGAAGGACTTTACCAGCAATGCAGGGAGCAGGAGGTGATACTGGGCCTTGTGCCAACAGGCGAGGCTCTACAACAGTGCCTTACATTGAAGTGTACCTGGGCCGAGCAGGGGCCAGTCCCCTCCCACAGGGCCACCCAGTATCCCGGTTGGTCATCAGCATCCGTCTGCCCCGGCACCTGGGACTTCAGCCCCCCCTCGCCCTCCTGGAGCTGAGTTCACGGGTGAAGCCCTCCCCGTCAGCCTTGCCCATCTGCCTTCACCCCGGGGGTATCCCCCTGGGGGCCAGCTGCTGGGTGCTGGGCTGGAAGGACCCCCAGGACCGAGGTGAGAGCCCTGGGTCTGGGGGTGAGAAGTCATTGGAGGCCAGAATCCCTGGGACAACCCTCTTTTCTCTCTCTAGTCCCTGTGGCTGCTGCTGTCTCCATCTTGACACCACGACTCTGTCACTGCCTCTATCAGGGCATTCTGCCCCCTGGGACTCTCTGTGTCCTGTATGCAGAGGGACAAGAGGACAGGTGTGAGGTACAAGGGCCTGGGCATCCTGGTCCAGGGAGGGGAGAAGCAGTGATGGGCAGCTAGACCCTAAAGAGAGAGCAGGATTGGAATTCTTGGGTGCTGGGCCCCAAATGGGAAGAAACACTGCTTTCTGGCTGGACCTTGGAGAGAGACCAGGGCCCAGGATGCCTAAGGATGGAGACAAGCAGTGCTTTGTGGATGGACCCTAGGAGAAGGTATGGGGGACCAGGAGGAAGGGTAAGAGACCATTTTGGCCTTGGCTCTGACATTGCAGGTGACCTCAGCACCTCCACTCCTGTGCCAGACTGAGGGAGGTTCCTGGGTCCTTGTGGGCTTGGCTGTTCGAGGGAGCAGGGAGCTGTTTGCTGCCATTGGCCCTGAAGAGGCCTGGATCTCTCAGACAGTGGAGGAGGCCCATTTCCTGCCCCCCAGTGGCTCCTCCTATTGGCCCCCTGAAGGCAGCGATCTCTGCCCCCCAGACACGGCCAGGGCCTCAGGCACCCCTCGGGCTGCTGTGTTCCTGCTGCTACTGACCTCCCTGATACAGGGCTAAGGGCCCTGGGTCCCTGGGCTACCTCTCCTTCTCCTCCCCTACACCCCTCCAGCCCTCCACTTTGCGCCCAGTGGGGCTGGAATGTGACCTAACCGCCTCTGTTCCCTTGCTGGCACCTCCAGAGCACCCCACCCACCTAGATTGCAGCGGCTTCAGATCATTGGGCCTCAGTGCTTGGCTATTTCGCCCCTGGAATCCTTGGGGGCAGTGGAGTGGACAATAAAGGTGTCAACACAGTCATGTGGCCTTGTGGCATTGCTGGGGGCAGCCTGAAGGGCTGGGGGAAACCCCAGGGCTAGGGCCGCTCCCTCCTGGGCCTCTGTGAATCAGGCTTTGGGCTCCCAGGAAATGTGTCCCTGATAACGTGGCAGCTGTCACTCATTCCTGCTCCAGGGCGTTGGAGGTTGGGTGGCCAGCTGAGTGTGTGTCACCTCCCCAATGGAATCAGCATCCCCAGCGCCTGCTGGACACCTCAGCCCTAGCTCAAACCCTGCTGCCCTTCTCCCCAGAACAAAAAAGACTGAGGGTGAGGGTTGGAGGAAGGGTCTAGGAGGCTGAGAGTCCAGGGTCTCTCTACCATATCCTATACTGACAGGGAGCTGCCTCCCATATCCACACCCTGATGAATGATGCCCCAAAGTGTACACCTCTAGTGTCCCCAGCATACACACATGACACTTGCACCCTGCAAGGGTCCACCACTTTTACTCCTGCCCAGAGCCCCCAGGGTTTGGGACCCATCATGCTTGTGTGTATGAACATTCCACTACCTCACCTACCACTTATGGGTACAGGTCCCTGCATTAACTCAACCACATTCTCTGCTAACTACTAAGTCAAGACACAGCTGGGGTCTGATTGATAAGCCCACGAAGTGCTCCCAATGTAGTGGGGGACACATATGGACACACCTGGCTGGGGGGTCAGGAAAGGGTCATAGAGGAGGTGATGTTTGAGCACAGAAAAAGGGCAAATGAGGAAAGGGGGCTGCTTGGGGTGGAAGCCAGCTGATGAGAGTGCAGAGGGGTCACCTCGGAGCTGCAGTCAAATCTCTGGGTTGAATAGGCAGAGGGTGGGGGAGGGGAGACCTAGAGGAAAGCTGGGAGTTCTCCTTGGGAGATTAAGAAGATGGGCAGAGATTGTTAAAGGGCCAGGCTTATCTTTAGCTACCAGGTCCCAAAAAGAATAGTCCCCTGAATCTGCACAGGGACATACATCCCCCCTGCTCCCCATACCCAGTCTGTCACCCATATGCCATCCCCCACATGAAGACGAAGATAATATACCTCATCTTCTACCCAAACCCACCCACAATGCCCAGTGTCTTGCCCCTCCTCCCCAGCTTAGACGCCTTCCCAAGTCAGCCTCCGTCCCTCATTCACTCCAGGAATTCCCTGCCCTCCAGCGTGGGTCCTGAAGTCCTGGCTCAGAGGTCCAGACACCTAGTCTTGGGGAAGGTAGGTGGGGAAGCAGGGGTCTGTTTTTCTGAATCTTGAAGCCAACACGCACTCCCAGTGCCCACAGACTCATACACTCACAGAGCTTGCGCTTGACCCCCAACCCAGTCACTGGGGCCTTCTTTCCCTGAACCTGCACACCTGCGTCCTCCATGTGAACTACCCCTCCCCTATCTTTGCCTTGTTAACATTTTCATAACCCCTTTAGGTCTCAGTTCTAAAGGCACTTCCTCGAGGATCCCCTCATGATGCCAGCCATGTCAGTCTCCTGTGAATAGCTTCCAGAGCCCCCATTCTTCTTTCTCCATCACAGTTCCTACTTTGAAATTATTCTGTAATTGTTTGTGTGACTATTTGATTCAAGTCTGTCGTCCTCATTTCAGGGTGAGCTCAGGGAAGGCAGGGATGATGTCTGTTTTGTTTCCTGTGCCTGGAACACAGTAGGCGCTCAGTAAATATTTGTGGGATGATTGGCACTGCCAGACACGCTCACCACACCTCACCACACACAGATGAGGCTGCAGGCTCCACAGAAGGGCCTGAAATGGCCCTAACCCTGAGCAGACCCGGGTGTCCTGGACTCACATACAAGGCCTAAGGAGGGAAGGAGGCAGGAGTGGCTGTGGCCCCATGATAACAAAGGCTGGGCCAGGCCCTGGGGGGCAGAACTGTCTGGCAGACCTGGGGCAAACAGCAATTGGGTGGCTCTCCCGGGAGTCAGGCCGTGGAGTTTCCAGGCCTGCCCAGGGCTGTTCTCTGGCTGATCAGCCCCTCAACGCACGCACGCACACGTGAAAAGCCTGAGGGTCTGGGAGGACTCATACTTTGGTGGCAAATGAAGAGCTGAGCATGAGGGCGGGGCCAGGAGCGGGGCGGGCAGGTAGGTGCCTTTCTCCAAACAGCCGCCACTCTGGAAAGTCTCTGCGTAGCCAGGCCGTGCGGGAGACGTGTCCTCACTGCTGGCTGCGGAGACTGTCTCCTTTTGTGCCTGTTCCCTGCCTTCAAAGCCAGCCTTGGACACCTGCTCCTCATTCCCAGCGTGGATTCTGGGGTCCCTTCCCTCTGGACCTAACACCTGGATCTTGCCTTTGAAACCAGCCCTAGGTCCCTTCCCTTGGGTTCCTGGTGTCTCCCCAGGAGCCCTTGTCCTGGGCCATGGCCCAGAGGGTGGGCCTAGGGCCTCAGCGGCTGGAGGCTGTGACCATTCTGCTTTTGCTTGGATTATTCCAGTCCAGGATGGGTGAGTATGTGCGGGGTCGGGGGGAGCGTGGGGCACGGGGAGGGGTGGTGCACAGGGGCCAAGGGTAGTATAACCCTTTTATGGGGCACGTCGCTTATTCTGGGCTCAAGAACCCTGGGCTTCAGCCTCCCTCACTCTTGACTTCTCCCTCTCCCTTCAACTTCAGCTTCCGGGGGGGGCCGGCCCACAGGAGAAGTGGCAGGTGCTAAGAGGTTGACAACTTGGGCCTTCTCTGCTTACCTATTCCTCTTTCTCTTTCCTTCCAGGAGCTCACGGGGCTGAAGGTAAGGCTTGCTGGGACAGTGGGGGAGGGGAAGAGGAGGGGACACGGACTCAGATTCCCATGGAGTATTCTGGGTTTTTTTTAAAGATTTTATTTTTCCTTTTTCTCCAAAGCCCCACAGTACATAGTTGTATATTTTTAGTTGTGGGTCCTTCTAGTGGTGGCATGTGGGATGCCACCTCAGCATGGTCTGACGAGCACTGCCATGTCCACGCCTGGGATCTGAACCGACGAAACCCTGGGCCACTAAAGTGGAGCGTGCGAACTTAACCACTCGGGCCACCAGGCCGGCTCCCCGATGGGAGTGTTTAATGAGCGTCTGACCCTCTCTCTGCAGGTCTGTCTTGCCCACCCATATTGTCTTAAGTGCCCAAAATAGTTCTATGAGACGACATTATAGCCCTCATTCTATGGATAAAGAAACTGAGATGCAGAGAAGTGACCTGCCCAGGGCGCACAGCCAGTAAGCGGCAGAGCTGGCATTTAAACCCGGGTCTGACTCCAAAGGGGGGTTGTTTTGAAGAGAACAACCCAAGGGTCTCCCTTCTTCAAAGGTACACCTCTAGACTCCGAGTCAGGTTTTCAGTCCCCACTTCACCACTTACTGGCTGTGTGTCGTTGGCCTGTCCCCTCACCTCTAAATGATGTTGAATATGTCTATTTCCTGGGGTTGTATGAGGAGTCAAGAAAATAAAGGAAGTGAAAGCCCTTTAGGGGCCTGGCATTGTTTGAACAGTCACTAAATAGTAACTACTGTCATTATCGGGAGAGGAGGAGGGGCCTGCTGGGCAGTTTTCTCTGCTCCTGGAAAGGTGACTTTGTGAAGGGCAGCTGGGTCCTGTTTCAAACAGCGACCTCAGCAGGGGTGGGGCTGTCCTGGAAACTAGACTTATCACACCATGGGAGCCCGGCTGTTCTGTGCAAATGTTCAACACACATCCACAACTCCCTCTGTGTGCCCGGCCCCATGCTGGGCGCTGGGGACAGGGGGATCTGCTCTAGTCCCTGCGGCTAGGAAACGCCCAGGTTGGTGTGGTTGAAGCAGACACAGTCATAGACACAGGAACAACTGTGTGATTGGACAGTGTCGGGGAAGCGCGGGGCCCTGGGATCTCTGAGGCATTGCCTAACGCAGCCAGCAGGGTCAGGGCAGGCTCCATAGGCAAAGAGAAACTTAAACTTGCCAAGCAGAGTAGTGATGAGGAAAGGTATTCTAGGCAGCATGACCTGGATAAGCAAAGATCTAGAGTTGAACAAGTGTATGGCCTCGTGTGTGACAGGAAGTGTCCAGAGGGCTGGCTGGAGTTGATTTCGGTGTCATGGAAGGGCTGGAATGTATCTTAAGAGCAGTGTGCACCCAGGGAAGGATTTAAGCAGGGGTGAGACCTGGCCAGGTTTATGGTTTATGAAGATATTCAGACTTATAAGCAGTGGATGGGATGGAGGGCAGGAAGGCCTCAGAGGAAGGAAGGTAGGCAGCGGGTGCCAGATTGCAAGCAGGCAGAACTGACCATGACTGGTGAGCAGTGGGATGGACAAAGGGGTGGCTTCTTTCTGTGAACGCATTTCCCAAGCTCCAAACCAGATCTCCTGGGCTATATTGGGAGTAGCAGGGCTAAGCACCTGGTGGAGGGCCCCAGAAGGGCCTGACTTGCTCTCCTTCCTCCCTGGGCAGCATTCTGCGGCATGGCCTCCCAAGCACGCATCACAGGTGGTAGCAGTGCAGCCCCTGGCCAGTGGCCCTGGCAGGTCAGCATCACCTACGATGGCACCCACGTGTGTGGCGGTTCTCTTCTGTCTGAGCTGTGGGTGCTGTCGGCTGCTCATTGCTTCCCAAGGTACCAGCTGGATGGGGGGCAGGGAAGTCAAAAGTGGTCTGGAGGCCAAAGTTTAGGGATCAGTCTAGGTCAGAGGTTGGGGTTCTGCATTGAGTCTAGGGGTATCAAGTCAGGATCAGTCAGGAGTGAAGGCCAGAGGTTACAGGCTAAAAGTAGGGTGCCATTTGGGGCCTGAAAGGTCCTTTGCCTGGGGTCAGAATTTGGGGTTGGATGCCACAGGCAACAGAGATCAGGGAGCTAGGACAGGTCTCCTGGGTTACAGCCTTTGCCCTTCTGCCTGCAGGGAGCACCGCAAGGAAGACTATGAGGTAAAGCTGGGGGCCAACCAGCTGGACTCCCACACCCCTGAGGCGGAGGTCCGCACTGTGGCACAGATCATTTCCCACAACAGCTACCGCCACGAGGGCTCCCAGGGCGACATTGCGCTCCTCCGTCTCAGCAGCCCCATCACCTTCTCCCGCTACATCCGGCCCATCTGCCTCCCCGCAGCCAATGCCTCCTTCCCCAATGGCCTCCAATGTACTGTCACCGGATGGGGCCATGTGGCCCCCTCAGGTGAGGTGGGCGCTGATGTCTAGGTGGGCATGGAGGGGAGCCTAACTCAGGATAGGAGGCCCTGGGTAAGCATCTTTTGCCCCCACAGTGAGCCTCCTGGCCCCCAGGCCATTGCAACAACTTGAGGTGCCACTGATCAGTCGCGAGACATGTAACTGCTTATACAACATTGACGCCAAGCCCAATGAGCCCCACTTTATCCAGGAGGACATGGTGTGTGCTGGCTATCTGAAGGGGGGCAAGGATGCCTGCCAGGTAAATGCAGGGGATCTAGGGGAATGGCTGAGACAAGTGCATCTTGGGAGATGAGGGCTGGATGGGGCTGGCATGGATGACTGGAGGCCTGGGGCCTAGTCCTGACAGCCAGTGTATGGCTTTTCTCTTCAGGGTGACTCTGGGGGCCCACTCTCCTGCCCTGTGGGGGGCCTCTGGTACCTGGCAGGCATTGTGAGCTGGGGCGATGCCTGTGGGGCCCCCAACAGGCCTGGTGTGTACACTCTGACCTCCAGCTATACCTCCTGGATTAACTTCCATGTGACAAAGCTCCAGCCTCGTGTGGTGCCCCAAATCCAGGAGTCCCAGCCCGACAGCAACCTCTGCAGCAACCATCTGGCCTTCAACTCTGCTGAAGCCCAGGGCTTTTTGGGGCCCATCCTGCTGCTGCCACTAGGCCTGACGCTGGGCCTCCTCGGCCCATGACATGAGCACCGAGCTGCTCTCTCTGGGAGCTGACTCTGCTTCCAGGACTTGCACATCGCACCCAAGGGCAGATACTTGTTCCCAGGAATGGACCTGGCTCCTCCCTGACACTCTTTGGGCCTGGAGCCTCACGTGAGCCACTTCTTCCTCCCAGAAACCTGTTGGAGTCCAGGGCACCATCTTCAATTTTGAGTCCACTCTTCTGGGTCTGTTCTTTGGGACTAAACCCACAGTCAGGAGTTTTATTGCCTGTGGTACTGGCTAGAACCTCTGGCCACCTATACCTGCTGTCCACAAGCCTATTGGTTGGGCTCCTAAGGAGGTCCCAAGGAACCTTAGCTATGAAAAGAGGCCCTGGCTCCCCATCCTCTTTCTAGAAGACTGGGCAACTGCCCAGTTGACTGCTGCTGAAGGGCTGGCTCCAGAGCCCTGCCTGCTCTGCCTGATGAGCCCCATCACTTCATCCTCGTCCTGTCTTCTGGGCTGGGGCTGCCTCTGGGCAGCATGTTTTCAAGGACAGAAAAGGCCCCAATCTTGCCCCATTGGCTGCCATGCCACCCTTCAGCCCTGATTTCTGGACTCCGGAGGACTGAGCCCCCACCGGAACTGGGCTCGGGCTTGGATCTGGGATGGGGGGTAAAAGGAGCAAGAAGGAATAAAATGTTTTGAGCACAGCTGGCTATGTCTGTGATATAAAATGAAAAACATCAGCTCTTGGCATCGCCCACCCACCTCCCAAGTCCAGAGCCACCAGCAGAACTTACTTTATTAAAAAAATGATGAAACAGGTCTGTACATATTTACAGGCTAGGGGGCAAGGAGGCACAGGTCCAGCAGCAGAGGCAGGGGCCACTCACTTCTTGGAGAGTTTGACTTGCTTGTGCTTGGGGGGTGCCCATTTGAGGCAGACAGAGTCCACTGTGGGGAGAAGAGGCATGAGAGGCAGAGCTGGGCCTCTGGGCCTGGCCTGATCTGGGCCCAGGCCAGGTTTCACTGCTAGGTGAGAACAAGGGCAGACTGAGTCCTGGGGAGGGGGCAGGGAAACCCAGGAATGAGTAACCTGCCCCAGGCATTGGGTCAGGGAGCTGGTCAGACTGGTTTGGGATCACATGACAGCAAAAAGGCGGCTTTGACTCCCAGCAGGTCTTACACCTACCCCCTACCCACTACCCACCTGTTATGGGTGGTTTCTTATATTGGGCACTTTTGAGGTGTTCCTCTACCAGCTTGGGTGTGACACAGATCACATGCTGGCCCTTCCAGTACTTGACCATGTTGAGGGACTGTAGGGTGCTGATGATGTCATTCTGGGTGATACTGGTCATCTGGCTGGGACAGCAAAAGGGGACAAGGAGACAGGATCGTGGTCAATCTTAGAAGAATCTTTCCCTCTTTGAGGGTTCCAGGAAGCCTCCCTTATGAGGTCTTTGATGGACAGCATGCCCTGGACAGGGCTGGGGACCAGGGCCCTCACCTAAGGTCCTTGATAGACAGTGTACCCCGGAAGTCTCGCAGGATCTCCAGCAGGACCCAAGACCAGTAGCTGCGGTAGCTGAGCTTGCCCAAGTCAGACAGTGGCTTCTCGGGGGAGCCTACTGTGCTCTCTAGCTTGGATAGCTCATAACCTGGCAGTGATGGAAATGAGGATCCTGAGGACCCACCGTCCTAGGCAACGCCCCCCCCCCACCAAGCTGTCCCTTGCTGGACAGGCTAGCAGCCACTCACTGAAAGCAATGAGGAACTTTCCGTAGCCACGGCGCTGGTAGGGGGGCAGGGTCAGGATGCAGGCCACGTTGTTACCATCTGGAGACTCCTTCTCCTGCAGGGGTGGGAGATCAGGACCTCCGGGGAGGCTCAGCCCCTTCTCCCGTTCATACTCCCTACCTTCCCTTAACCTGGGCTTCCTAACCCAGCACCTTAGAGAAGTAGCCGACGATGTGTGCTCCCTGCCTGTCCACCTCAGTCAAGATGTAAAAGACGAAGGGTTCCACGTCGAAGTACAATGTCTTGTGGTCCAGGAAAAGCTTAGCCAGCAGACACAGGTTCTGACAGTAAATCTGAGGGGTGGGAGAGGTGGAAGCAGGCTCAGGGAGCAAGTACAACTCCCCCACCTAGCCCACCGAGGCCTGGGCAGGAGCTGTCACCCTGCTCTGCAAGTGCCAGGCTCCAGAAAAGCAGCCGGTGCCAGGCAGATGAAAAATGGGCTCCTCACCAGAACAGTAGTATTTAGAATTGGAAGGAATCTTGGAGTCATTTTCTGATGGACAGGGAAACTGAGAACCAGAGAGCTATTGGCAATGGAGGAGGTAATGGTAGAGCTAGACTAACCCTGACTACCACTTCCGAGTGCTAAATACGAGTTCAGTCTGCACAGATAGTGACTCAAGTTTCAGAGAAACAGGCTCAGAGAAATAGGTGGCTTGCCCAAGGCCCCACGGCTGGTGAGAGCTAGGGCAGGATTCAAACTGGTCTGAGAGTTCTGTCTTATTCATAGTTGTGTCCGTGTGCCTAGCACCAGGCTAAGTATGAAGCTGGGTGCTTGGTAAATGTCTGCTGAATGGTTGAGCCTCGAGCCTGACTCTGAAGCCTGAGTTGTCTGCCCACTTGGCCACGCTCCTCTGCTGGGCCTCACTAGCCTCCTTGCTGCAGGACCAGACACCAACCCACACAAGAGACCAACGTCAGGAGGGACAATGGGACTTTGAGGTTGGCTTCATGGCACAGATCAGGCAGCCCTCTGGTTTATGACATCTTTTAGATCCACTCTCATTTGACCCAACAATTGTGTGAGCTCAGCATTGCTAGTCCCATTTTTTTAGGAGGAAACTGAGGCTCTGGGAGGGGAAGTGCTTGCCTGAGGCCTCAAAGCTGACAGACTGTAGAGCTGGAAAGAACCCCCAGGTCTCCTGCTGGAGTCCTTTCTGCCACTCCCCCTGTTTGTGCTCAGGAAGGCGGAGCAGCAGGCAAGGGCCAGGCTTAGAGCAGATATTCCCCAAGCTTATATATTACAAGGCTGGTTGAGCCCCAAGAGGTCACCAAAAATAACAAAGGCCATGTTTACTACACCTACTTGGTGCCAGGCACTGTGCTAAGCATTAGACATTGCTGTCTCATTTATTCCACTAACAACCCCACTAGATAAATATTATCACGACTACTGTCTTATGGATAAGAAAACAGGAACAAACATTAAGTAAATTGTCCAAGGTCAGCTAGGAAGTAACAGGGCAACCTGAAGCCAGGAGCCACTCCGAAGCCTGCCCTCTTCATCTTACACTCTACTGCCTTTCCACAGGAAACCATCTCACTTGATGAGACCTTCCCAGACTGACTGAGCAAAGGCCAGGTTCTCAATGACAGCAAAGCACACCCCAAAGGCCCTGCCCCCACTGAAGTCTTTCTGCCAGGAACAAGCAACGCAGCCGTCAGAGCCACCAAGCTCTCAGGTAGGAAACCTTACACAAAGCAGTTCCCTCCCAGGAAAAACAAACACCTTTCCTTCAGGCAGAAAGAGAAAGTGCTTCTAGAAGCAGCCTCAGGCACAACAATCTCCACTTTGGGTTCCAGGACTGCTTAAACCTAAACTACCCGATCAGGAGAAAAGTCCTCAGGGACAGACGGAAACCCAGTCCCCAAGGCTGGCACCACAGGGCCATGTGTTTACTATGCACCAACCACAGGCCAAGTGCCAGGCTAAGCACAGTCCCGCAGGCCTTTTCCCGGTGGAGGCTCATCCTAAGGCTGGCCTCTATCCTTTGGTGACAACAAGGATCGTCAGGAGGTGCCCAGTGCTTCCCCACAGCGCCATCCAGCTCACCTTGTGGTCTTTGCCATCCACCTCGTACACAGAGATGTTGCTCTTGCGATAGATTTCCTTTCCTGGGGGCTGCCGCCACTGACACTGGCCCTGGGGGTGGGCATGGGGAGATACAGGCTTGAGACCCGAAGGTTCTCTGCTAGGTGTCCCCATCCCACCCCATGTGGCTTGCAGCAAGGCTCTGCTTCTCTCAGTTTCCCCATCTGTAGACCCTGGGCTGAACACCTCCCCTACATGGAGTAATCCTCCCAAACGCCTGAGAAGACACAGCCCATTTTACAGATGAAGAAACCAAGGCACAGAGAGGCTAAGTAACTGGCTCGCACATCACACACCTAGATGGTTCAAGTCCAGGTCGGTCTGGCTCTAGAGGACTCTGGAGGACTCTCATCTATGACAATGGTGTTTCCTAAACCACACTCAGTTGCTGCAGATTGCACCCTTTGGGAAACACCCTGCTGTGCCAGTGAAGAGAGCCCCCTGCCCCTGGCAGCTCTCGTGTACCAATGCTTTCCATCTGTCCACACCTTATGGTCCCAATGCTCAGGGGCCAGGCTTGCTTCCTCTCTTGCACCAAGGAACCTGGCACTCGGATGGCCTTGATAGATGCGGTGAAAGGCAAGGGACTCAAGGAGAGATAAGGGCAGGGATTACTGTCCCCATTCCACAGAAGAGGAAGCTGAGGTCTGGGGAGGGGCAGCAAGTTGGCCAACGTCTCTCCAGCAAAGACAAAACCAGGCCTGGAATCTAGCTCTCTCAACCCGTGGGCTTTTCCTTGTACTCCACTCTTCTGGATCTCTCTCTTCCCTAGTGCTGCTGCTTCAGCTGCCCTCAGCCTCTAAGCCCGCCTCTCTCACCAGGCCCGGCCGGGCCAGCCTCACCAAGTGGAAGCGGTAGCTCTTCTCATATTTCATATACTTGAGGCAGTACTCGCAGAGCCAGAGCTTGGGCTGCTTCCCATAGTCTTCAGGGAATGGCGAGAAGTACCAGGCATCGATTTCATAGTTTCCAATATGGATCTTGTCCACATACTTCACCTTGGTGATCTGTGGGCAAGGTGGGAGTGGAGAGCAGTGGATGGCTCAGCTGGGGCAAAGAAAGCAGCGGGGAGGGAGTGCCTGCAGTCAGGACCCCTGCCCCTACTTACCGCCTCATGCTCCTTCTCCAAGGCTGCTGTCGTGGGGTCCATCTCTGCATAGGTCTGGACAAGGAAAGAGCAGTGGACAGAGGTGAACAGAAATGGTAGTCAGCCCATCCCTCCCGTGCCCAAGAAGTCAGTGCTTTCCCTCTGTCTTCCAGACCCCATCCTCTGAATGACAGTAAGAACGATACGAATAGCTAACTTGTTTTACCTGGATTTGAAGCTGGCTGGTCCAAGCTCCTCTCCCATCTGCCCACCCACCCATACATCCCAGACGGCCCTGATACCCAAATTTGGACCTTCTGCCAGATGAACAGGGCTAGGATCAGGAGGCCTGGGTCGAGTCCTTGGGTTGATAAGAGCTCCAGCTATACAATGGGATCACTCCAGTTCTGCCAAAGTTGTCGCGAGACAGGTGAAATAATGGATCTTGTCTTCCATGCCCATAGAAGGAATTGGTGCGGACTCCCCAATGTGCCTGGACTTCTTTCCTGAGCACCAGACCCCCTGAGGTGCCTGCCCATGGGACTGCTCCCAGAGGTCCCTCCACAGGCACATCAGACTGTAGGTGTCCAGAAAGGAACTCAACCTTTCCTCCCTGCAAACCTGTTCATCCTCCCAGGTTCCCCACGTCACAGGGAGCATCAGTCTCCTGCAACTGCCCAAGACCAATAACGGGCCTGCTCTTAAGTTTCCTCCCTCTCTCTCAGCCTGGCATTCAATTAACGGCCAAGCTCTGTCAACTCTACCTACTTGACATCTCTGGAATTCTCCTCTCTGTCCCACTCCTAACAGCCACTGCCACCACCTTAGGTCTGGATAATTGACTAGGCCTCCTTAGATTCCCAGCCTCCAGTCATCACCCCTTCAAATCTACACTGCTGACAACACCCCTCTTTTCCCAGCCTTCACGCCTTTGCACATGCAGTTCTTTTCTCCTTGAATGCCCTTCCCTTTCCTTTTGCCACCAGAAAATGCTGGCTCCGCCTAGTACAGAGCATGAGCTAGGTGAGTGCATGATGAGGCAGAGCTTTGTGACCTAGCATGTGTAATTGTTCTTACTCTGCTCCTTCTTGTCCTTCAAGGCTCACGTCCTGCAGGAGGCCTGACTGGATTCTTTCGATGCAGAATACACCCTCTCCTTCCCAAGTCAGGAACGCAGTGGGTAACAACAATACCTTCTGACTGTCCCCACTTGGTGTGCCCTATTTTCCAAGTCCTTAGAGAGCAGAGACTAAAAATCATGTCACACTCACAGCACATTCTGTTCCTAGGCCTGACTGTAGGAGGAACCAAGGACAGCCTGACAACAGAGGGGGGACCCAAGGCCTATGACCTACACCAAAGTAGATGGCAGCCTTGCCCTGTAGTTGAGAAGGCAGAAAGGAGCCAGTGTTTCACCCAGAACCCCCTTCCCGCCTGCATGGCCTCGTTTAACCCTTTTGGCAACCCTGAGATACAGCATTCTTTCTATTTTACAGAAAAGTAAACAGGCAGGGAGAGGTGAGGTCACTCACTCTTGGGGACTAGCTAGCTGCCATCTACTCCAAATGCCAAGAACTCCACAGGCATTATTTCATTTGGTCCTCACAGTGAGCCTGAGACAAGAGTGCTCATTATCCACACTGCACAAAAGAGGAAACTGAGGCACAAAGAGGTGAGGTCAGTTGCCCTAGGTCAACACAGTTGGGCAAGGGCCCTTGGTCTGTCCAGCTCTGAGCCTAACCCCTGCAAAGATGAGGGAAGAAAGATTTTCCTCCTTATAGGCCTCTTTAAAACATATTTCCCAACTCTCACAAGACACAATCCTCTTCTGCAAATGCATTAAAGGACTACAAAAAACACTAATTTTCTTAAATGCTGCAATTTATTTAGAATTAAACATTAATTAGGCTCTGAAGAACCTTGCTGATTATCTCGCTGATTATCCATCCTTTATCACCATTGGCCCATTGTCATTCACCCTGCTGATTACCAGCTTGGAGGTAGGTACATCTTTGAGACTTAATTTACCAGTGCAACCTCACTGAGGAACTAAGAGAACCTTAGACCTGTGCTGTCCAATCAAGCAGCCACTAGCCACATGCAGCTATTTAAATTTATTAAATTTAAATAAAATTTAATTCTCAGTCACATTAAACACATTTCAAGGGTTCAATAGCCACATGTGGCTAGTGGCTACTCTACTGGACAGTACAGACATAGATCACTGACATTTTGTCACAGGAAGTCCAACTGGACGGTGCTGCCTCAGACCTTAAGAGGTCTTTCTAGTTCAGGGTATTTCAATTTTTTTTTTTATCACAACCCACAGTAGGAAGTGCAGTTAGCACTGTAAACCAGTTGACATGTTTGTGTACATAAATGTGTATTTGTATGTGAAATAAAGTTTCTCAAAATAATACTTGCCTTTAACAAAGTTCAACGCACTCTGATATTTTCCACCTTATCCTATTTCTCTCTTCCATTTAAAAGATATAAACGCTGGTCACAATGCACTAAACTAATTTGGCAATCTACTAACAGCTGTGCCCCACAGTTTGAAAAACATTGCTGCAGAGCACACAACAGGTACTCAGAAGGATGAAAGTGCCTGGTTGAAACTAATGAATGTCTGAGTGCCTTGAGAACTCAGCAAACCCTGTTCTCGTCTGCACTCCCCACTTTACAAATCAAGAAACTGAGGCTCAGAGTGGGGAGGAAAGTAACCCCCCAGGGGCAGGGTGGCTTGGTGAAAAGAACCCAGGTTTTAGAAACAAATGGTCTGAGTTTCTAGGATGTGTCAAAGCCATGGTTAATGGTCTGTGCCCCACAGCAGAAGAATCTAGTTGGCAAATCTAATTCCTGACTGGGTTCCTAAACTCATCTGTTCCTTCCCTGTAAACTGAGGAGAATAATAATGCTTACCTCTCAGGGTTGCTGTGAAACTTCATTGAGATCATATATTAAAATACTTAGCCTAAAACTTTGACACGCAAGTCAATAAATGTTTGCCATTATTATTCTAATTCCAGCCCACCTTTTTACTAGCTGCGTGACCTTGGGTATGTTACCTAATCTCTCTGAGCCTGCTTCCTCATTCACAAAAGGAAATAATTATCCCTGTGGTGTTGAATTGTTATGGAGGATTTGATGAGCTTATGCATGTACAGTACTCAGCATGATGTCTGGCAATAGCAAGTGCCCAACATCATTCATTCTCTTTCTTCCCCTTGGACTTCAAGTTATTCAGTCTAACGTGGCACAGCCAATAGGAGATGAAAGAGCCTATCGGTGCAGGAGGCCTGAGTTCCAGTCCCAACTGTACCATTTCTTTGCTGTGAGACTGCAGCCAAGCCCTTGCCCTCCCTGAGCCTCAGTTTTCTCATCTGTGAAGAGCACATAAGAAGAAATAGGTAAAGTCCCTGACACACTGTAGGAGCTTAAGAAATGGAAACTGCTGTGGTTTTGGCACTGGGACCCAAGGGAGTTGGCAGAGGCAGCTGAACCTCCTGAGGCCCTGGGGAAGGGGAGGGGCCCGGACCTTCTGCACGTGGTTGATCTCATCATGCTTGCGCTTCTGGTTGCGAGTGATCTTGCGCTCAGGCTGCTCAGCCAGCTCACTCAGGTACTTCTCTGAGTTCTTCTGCACAGCATCCTTGACTGTCTTGGTCAGTGCCAGCCGGTTCTTGTCTACCCATTCGTCCAGTCGCCGGTTAACTGTGAGGATGGGCCATGAGGGTGTTGCCTTTCTACCCCTCTCCCCCAACCCAGGCCTGGATACCCCAAGTCACTCACAGCCCACGTAATGTACATAGAATTCCTCTCGGCCCTCCTGATCATTCACTCGAGACTGGATCACTTCAGCAGAATCTGTGAAGGATAAAGGCTAGAATCATCAGGAAGGAAGGCAGGGCTGGAACAAGAGGGATCCCCCACACTGAGCAGCAGTTTCCAGATTTCAGGACCACAAGCTAACTTGACCTGTCCACATCTGCCATTCAACAACTGCCTGTGAGATGGGCCAGGACGGAGCTATTATTCTTATTTTTCTTTTTTTTGAGGAAGGGTAACCCTCAGCTAACATCTGTCACCAATCCTCCTTTTTCGCTGAGGAAGACCAACCCTGAGCTAACATTGTGCCCATCTTCCTCTAATTTATATGTGGGACACCCGCCACAGCATGGCTTGATGAGCAGTGCATAGGTCCACAGCCGGGATCTGAACCGGCGAACCCCAGGCTGCTGAAGCGCAACATGCCAACTTAACTGCTGTGCCACTGGGCTGGCCCCTGTTATTCTTATTTTTTTAATTTTTATTATTTGAGGAAGATTAGCCCTGAGCTAACGTCTGCCACCAATCTTCCTCTTTTTGCCAAGGAAGACTGGCCCTGAACATCTGTGCCCATCTTCCCCTACTTTATACGTGGGACGCCTACCACAGCATGGCCTGCCAAGCGGTGCCATGTCCACACCTGGGATTCAAACCAGTGAACCCTGGGCTGCCAAAGCGGAAGGTGTGAACTTCACCACTGCGCCACCAGGCTGGCCCTGTTATTCTTATTTTACAGATGAGAAAACTGAGGCTTACCCAGGCTCACAGAGTTGAAAAGTGCTAAGAACTAATACTTAACTGGGTTTAAGTGTGCCTCCAAACTCAATGCTTGTTTTACTATACTCAGTCATTCATTTGTTCAGGGGTCAAGAGGGCTGGCTCTGGAGTCAGACAGCCTAGGTTTATATACAATTCTAGCTCCTGACTTCCTATCTATGTTTAACTGAGCAAGTTATTTCAGCTTTCTGAACCTGTTTCTTCCTCTGTAAAAGAGGGCTATTACCCACCTCAGAAGATGAGTTAATGCCTCTAAAGCTTTAGCAGTATAGCACCTGACAACTAGCAGACTATTCAATAAATGAGTACAGCAACCACTGCATGTCTGGCCCTATGCTGTATTCTTGCTTGGTTCAGAGGATACAGCAATGAATCACAAGTGGTCCTGCCGCCCAGAAGCTCTCACTTTGAAAGGGGAAGACACAGACAGACAATGACAACATAATATTACACATACCACGGCTGAGGTATGAAGAAAATGTTGCAGGAACATACAGAAGGGAATGATTCACTTGGCCTGAAGGGAGTGAGGAATGGCATCGCAGGTGATATGGTGTTAAAAAGATGAGTAGGAGCTTGCCAGGTGAACAAGGAGAAAGGGAAGAAAGGGCAGAGGGCACAAGCGGTAAAAGGCATATGGTCTTCAGAAGACATAGTGTGGTCTGGTCTGGCAATGGCCTTTGCTAGGGGTGACTAGCGAGGTCACAAAGATAAATGACATTCTGAGGAACTTGGGGGGTTTTTAAAGATGAGGCAAGGCAATGGAAGGGAGGGAAAAGCTCGTTTCTCTGTTCTGGAAGGTCTCCGCTGGCGGCTGTAGCGGACGGATGGAACGGGAAGTAGCACAGACAAGAGAGAACAGCGAGGAAGCAAGGCTAAGAGGAAAAGGGAATGAAGCCTAAGAGAGGGCAAGGAAGTGGAAAAGGAGCTCTATATACAAGAAGAATTCGGCGACAGCCTGACAGGTGGGGCTTATAGGCGGCGCCCGGGATAGCCTGAAACTCCGCCTTCTCTTTCCTCCAGCCCCGCCCCGCACGACTCCCAGCCCCTCAGAGAACCCGTTCCCAGGCCCCGCCCACGCCCCTAAACCCCGCCCTCACGCCAGGTGCTATCCGGCCGCCGGCACAGGTACGTTTCTCCGATCTCCACGGTGACTTCCGGCTCGCCGCGCGCCGGCGTCGGCGGAGAGACGCGGCCCGGGGACGACGGGGCAGTTCCCTCGACTGCCGCATTCTCCCCGGGCCCGGGCTCGCTCTCCCCCGAGATCCCTGAAGTCGCCGCCGCAACTGCCGCAGCAGCTGCCTGTGCCGCCATCGCTGTAGTGGAAGTGACGCCAGACTCCGGCGCCGCGCAGCGCTTTCAGCTCCGGGTCAGCGACGCGTGGCGGAGGCCGCGGCAGGCTGGAGGGTGGGGTCTGTGACGTGGCCGGAGCTCATTGGTTGCTGCGGCCATCTTCGCGGCCCCGAGACAAGCTTGACGTTTCCTCTGCCAAGTGTCCTGGAGTTCTTTTTTTTCGGTATGGAAATATGGTTGCACCCTAGAGTTGAAAAGAGGAGAAGGACTTCCCTGATGTGATGACTCAGCTCTGTCATTTTAAAGGCCCTGGTGTCTGAAGAAGTCAAAACATGCCAGTGATCAGAGGGCGCTGCCCCCATCTTAACGGGGCGGGGCCAGAGCAGCCTCCCTGGCTGCCTGGCATTCGGGCCGCGAGGCAGGAATTAACACCCATCCCTGCGCCGCCCCCTTCGCTAGCCTAATACCGATCACCCCTTTTTGAAGATTGAAGAAATTGCCTTCCTTGCTCAGGGTGAGGAAAGGATACAGTTGGAGAGGGGGAAGCAGGACAAGTGTGTCCAGGGACACCCAATAAAACACTCTCACAGAATCAAGCCTTTCTAAAGAAAGGACCAGGCCCCCAAACCAGACGCCCGCTGAACAGACACTAGCCAAAGGCAGTGGACATAATGGAGAGTGTTTTGGACTTAGTGAGTGAGGAATCCTGGGTTCTGGCTCTACTCTGGGTAAGGTGTACAAGTGTGTCCATTCTCAAAGTGTAGGTAAAGGTAAAACTGTATATAAGCCATATAACTATATGAAAGTTAAACCACATATTTATCTCTCTCCTATGTATATAAAACAAGTGTATTCCACAGTGCCAGACAGGGTAGGTGCTCAATAAACATTCCCTTTGGCCACTCTCTGAATCTTCTCTGACTTATAATTTGGTTATTGGGCTTAGACAGAAACAATTCTAAGAGGGGTGTAATGCTCAAGGCCCGAGGTTACAGATCAAGAAATACTTGAGTTAGGTATTTGGGGGCGGGGGGGGGGGCCAGTGGGAAGTGCTGGTAACTTGGATCTGGGGAAATGAAGCAAGTTGTGGGGGGCAGTGAATGCCAGGTGTCTGGCAGCATAAGAAACAAAACAAAAGTCAGGAAAGAAAAAATTAAAATCGTAATAACTTTTCCCACTCCCCACCCCACCCAACCCCACCCCTCATCTTCGAGATTGTTATTCTATGGGACCGGCACCGTGGCCGAGTGGTTAAGTCCACACGCTCCGCTTCGGCGGCCCAGGGTTGGGATCCAGGGCGTGGACATGGCACCGCTTGTTAGGCCATGCTGAGGCGGCGTCCCACATGCCACAACTAGAAGGACCCACAACTAAAATATACAACTGTGTACCAGGGGGATTTGGGGAGAAAAAAGCAGGAAAAAAAAAAAAAAAGAAGATTGGCAACAGTTGTTAGCTCAGGTGCCAATCTTTAAAAACAAAAAAAAAAGATTGTTATTCTATCCACCCAGGGTTCTGGTGTCTCACTTTCGACTTCACCCAACATCTTCACTTATACTGTCCTAGTTAAGGATTAGCCTAGGCTTTATAAATCCCTGATCAATGTCACCGCACCAACCTCCTCGCTATTCTCCCTCCACCAGTGATTCTTCTAATATGCAAAACTGATTGTTCCTCCTAGGACTATGTAGATGATTCACCCAGATCCCCTGGAATCTCTTTGTTGCTTCTGTGTGCCCAAATTACCTTTGATGTGCTTTCAAAAGCCAGCACCAGAGGCTCTTCTTTATCGAACTGCCCCTCAGGCCAATAGAGCTGTTTTGCCTGAAAAAGCTGAAAACTGATTTTTTTGGCCCGGAAGTTCAAGTACCTCCCCACCCACACTTCCCAAGACAGACATTAACCAACGGTTGTCAAATGGAGGAGTTTATCAATGACTGTGGAACTTAGTTAGCTCTGTGGCCTCCAGCTCTGAGGCAGAACTTTGGCTCTGAACTTTTGTGTGAGATCACTCCTCGCCTGGCCTCTTGCCTGTCCCTTTCTTGCTTCCCCTACTCCCTTCCATAAGCACTTTCTTAACAAATCACTTGGACACAAATCCTCCTCTCAGGGTCTCCTTCCAGAAAATCCAAACTGAAACATCTTCCTAGCTTAAAACCCATCCACAGATCCCTGCTGCTTCCAGGATAAAGCCCATGCTTCTTGGCTCTACATTCAAGGCCCTTCACCCCAACTGCCAACTGCCACGTACCTCTTCAGCCTCACCCCCCCTGCACTGCAGCCAGCAGGATTTTCAGCCTGGCAAGTGGTTTCCCACCACCTGGCATTTGCCCTCCAGATACAATTCCCATCTCCCCTAAAACCTCCACTTCCATCACTAGTCCCACCAAGCAGGCCCTCAGGCCTATCTTCTCCTTCCCTGGCAAGATGGGCAGAGGGTCCCCACTTGCTCTCCAGAGCCCTTTCCTTTTGCCCTCCCTACCAGGGCCCCACTGTCCGCTGGGGCCTGACAGGGCACAATCTTGTGTGTTCCTTTCCTTGGCAGCAGCAGGCACAGCTGGCAGGCAGTATTTTTAACCTTACTCAAGTTCGGGAATCAGGTGGTTCACGAGGTTGCCCAATCTGGTGACCTTCACCTCTAGAACCTGTGACTGCCAGGAAGGGAAGAGTCAGAACTGAGACCTGAAGCTGGGCTTCAATATTGTCTGGGATCCAGAATCAATATTGTCTGAGACCTGAAGCTGGGCCTCAATATTGTCTGGGATCCAGAAACATTTGTTACATGAAATGAATGAACAGTCTTTGTATAAACTCCCAGAGTCATCCCCATTCCCGCCAAACCAAATGTGCAAGAGACTTGGGGCCAGTTATATTCCTGGCTGTCAAGACAGGGACAGTTAATGAAGTAGTTAAACCCAAGGGCCCAGGGAACCACCATGGGGACAGAAACAAAAACTCACCTGCCCTCCCAACACATGGGGCCCAAGAGGGCATTCAAAATGTTAACTTTAATAACAAACAGCAGGTCAAAGTGGGGGTTCCCCAGGAGTGAGAATGACAGAGCTAGTGCTGGAAGCCTCAAGGTTCCCCACTTCCTCCCCTCCAAGGCCTGGAGGCAGGGAAGCAGTGGATCCTGTCGAGGAGGGTGGCACTCGGCTCCATGTGAGTCCATCTGTTTGGGGCCCTAAGACCCAAGATGCAGCAGCATGTGGAGAGGGTGGCACCCTGCCTGCCCCAGAGGGTCTGGGCAGGGTGGGTGGGCCAGGCTGGGCAGGTGAGCAGGCCAAGGGCTGTGGGGTCAGATGCGGAAGCTTTCCTCTCGGCCATCGATATGACGGAGCCGCAGGTAGACATCTGTGCCAATGCCCTGCAGGGACTGCAGCTGGAGGGAACCACCAAGGTACTCCGCGTAGGCCCGTGATGTGGGCAGCCCGAAGCCAAAGCTGGGAGTGGGCAGGGGGACAGGACAGGGGCTTCAGAGGCTTGAGTCTTCTGGGGCCCCCCACCCTCTATCCTGGCCAGGTGGGGTCTCACCCGTGCATGGGGCCTGACTGGCCGCCACTGTGCATGTCCAGGTGGCCAAAGAGGGGACTGATCCGGGGGTCCTGGGTGCTGGCCTCAGCTGTAGTGAAGTGGTAGTCCATAACCCGATCCAGGTCTTTGTGAGTGATTCCCCCGCCCCGGTCTGAAATCCTGGCAGGATGTCAATATCATGAGCTTGGCTCAGCTTTGGTGGGGAGCTCACTACCTCCCAAGTAGACAGTGCTAAATCTCCTTCCTGTTCCTTCCACCTAAAGATGGAATGTGGTCCAGCTAGACCCTTGGGCCTTATTTTTTATAAGCTACATTTCTCCATCTTCACTTCTGCCTAGGCCATGACTGCTTATCCCTTCTCTATCCAGCTCATGGCAATCTCAGGACCAGAAAATATCTTGTCTGACCAGGGACCAAGTCTCAGCATGAGGCAGGTACTGGCTCAAGGTCATATAGCAAGTCAGAAACAGTGCCTGGAACCCCCATCAACCCCAAATCAACTCCCACTCAGGGCAAACCTGATGACAAGATCGATATCATTGTTGGCGATGGTGATGACCACATCTGGGACATTGTACGGAGTGTCTAGGTGACTTTCCATCGTGGCTCTATGCAGGGGAGAAAGACCAGTAGGTAGCGGTCTTAGTAGCCTCACCCCAGAGTTTCTGTCTGCCTCCTTCCCACATATGCAGCCAGCCCACCTCATGGCATTCTTGAGCAGCTCGGGCAGGATGTAGTCCAGCGGCATGGGAATGAAGGGGAAACGGGCAGCCACATGTCCATTGATGCGGACGCGGGGGGCATTGCCATACTTGTGCTCACACAGGCGTCTGTGGATAGGAGCAAGGGTTTAGACCTAGACCAGTGCTTCTCAACTGGAGGCAATTCTGCCCCCAGCCCACCCACGGGGAGATTTTGCAATTTCTAGAGACATTTTTGCTTGTCACAACTGGGGAGTACTGGCATGAGGTGAGTATAGGCCAGGAATCCTTCTGAACATCCCAGCAAGCACAGGACAGCCCCTCACAAAAAAGAATTATCTGGCCCAAAATGTTAATAGTGTCACAGTTGAGAAACCCTGCCCTAGTCTATGCTCTGGGTAAAGGCTCAGACCTAAGCTTTCTCCACCTGAAGACATTCACCCCTTTAGGCGTTCTAGCCTCACCTGGCAAAGTCCACCCACTTTTCAATAATCTTCTTCGGCGAGAGGCGAGTGCAGATGATGCCAACAAAGTCAGGCTGGCAGGAGAAAGACAGTCAGACCTAGGCAGCACCTCCACCCACACCTCAGCCACCAAATGCTTGCAACCTCTAGATTGAAGTAGCCCCAAGCCTCTCCCAGCCCTCAGCCCACTCCCCAGCCCAAGGGGGCCCCTGGCTCTGCCCCACTTGACATTCCCAGGTGGGTCTCAGGTCCCAGAGCCCTACCTTGTCCTCATGCAGTGCCAGATGATGTGTGGCCAACATGCGGATCCCAAGCCTTGAAGTCAACGTCTTGTCCAAGAAGTAGCGGACAAGCTTTTCATCCTGTAAAGAGTGGAGTCTCAGAAACCCTGTGCCCTTCCCAGGCTCCCCAACAAGCCTGGGCCCCCAATGCACTGCCCCTGACCTCTATGTGCTTCCGGCTCTCACGCAGTCCCTCAGCTAAGAGGGTCACCACATCCTTGTGGTCGTCCAACAGCTGTCGCACCAGCTGGCAGTATCGGGTGTCGTCCGCCTGGTCCTTGATCTGCAGGCCACAAAGTCATGAGCATGGATGGTGCAGCCCTGACCTCTCAGCCCCTCACCCTGCCCTGGCCCAGCCCTCACCGGAGGGAAGTCTGTCAGCTTCTGGAAGGCACGGATGTATAGCTCGTGCTGCAAGGAAGAGGTGTGGGAATTCACAGGGATGCTGTGGGCACTGGGTAGAGAATAGCCACCCAAGTCTACCCATGGGGGTTGCCATCCACCCCAATTCACTTAGTTCAGACCCCAGTCATGGTCTTTCAAGCTTCCACGAATATGCAGCTTTGGCCTCTGAAGGGTTGGGTCTGAGTCCTCCATAGCCCTGAAACCTTTTGGCAGGCAAGTCTCAGCCACTCTGGTCCCATCTCCCCATTTGCCCCCTGGGCAGTGGGCACATTGATCTAAGGTCCCCTCTACTAGGGAAACCCATGCCCCAGGTAGCCCACCTTACCACGTGCAGTATGGTAGGGTTGCAGCCAATGATGAAAGGAAGGCTGCGGAAGCCCTTAATGCGGTGAGCGATCCTCACTGGCAACTCTTGCTGCAAGTACCGGGCACTTTTCTAGATGAAAAAGAGGAGGGAAGGTAGGGCCAGGGCCTGAATGGCTAGGCCAGAGCTCCAGGACCAAGAGAAAAATAGGGGATAGGAATCTTACCAGAAGGTGGCTGCCATCCTGAGAGCGACCTGAATAGAGCATCATGGTCGGAGTGAGGCGGACTGAGGGCTGGTGGGGCAGATGGGCTTTGAGCACTGGATCTCCAACACCCTCCCCCACCACGTTTGCTCCACCCCTTCCCTGGACACCCTCTCTAGCTCTAACCCAGCCTTGCGGCCCCAGCTGCACACCTTCTCCGCCGCCACGTCGATGGCTGACTGGTTGTAAAAGGAAGTCACAGTCTTGGAGCGCTCCCGTGCCATCTCCACGTGGTGTGTATCAGTGGCTGATGTGGAGCCAGCCCGAAGTAAGAGTGCGGGCCCCAAGAGGGGCCGGAGTGGAGGCCCACCCCGGGGGCCATTCCCCAGCACCGAAGCTAGTATCATTGTCTTGCTTCTTTGTCGGACGGGGTGGCCCCTAGGGTGAGGACCCAACAGACGGAGGCGACCCCAAAACGGGGCAGGAGGGATGTGGGTGGGCAGGGGCTCTTCTCTGACTTCAAGGGCAAGGGTCAGTCGAGGATGCTGACAAGCTCAGCCCCGCGGGAGCAGCTCCCATCTACGGGGATAAGGGAAGGAGAATTTGTAAGACCCGAATCTAGACGACCCGCACCATCTCTCCACGGGGGGCACTGGTAACCTGAGGCCTGGGTAATCTCTGCCCGCCCCTTCAACCACCTCCCCAAACACACACAGGCAGACCATGGACAACTTTGCTTTCCGTAGCTCCTATTCTTCAACCTGAGGCTGTAGCTGGTGGTCTGGAGGGAAGGGGATCCTCAGACCTGTCCAGCGCGAAAACCTTGCCCCCGCTGTCTGGGCCTGGGTACCGTCGGTCAGAGGGCGGGGCTGACCCCTACTCAGCGCCTTCAGACCCGGGCCCCTGAGCCTGGCCTGCGTACGTGAGGCACACAGCACCGGGCGCCCGAGGGCCGGCTGCATCGAGGCCGCGGGCCAGGAGTCCCCGTGTGGGTTCCCGCTCCGCAGGGTCACTTGGTTCGGCCCAGATCCCCCACATACGGTAGAAGCCAGGACCCCATCCACGCGCACTCCCGCGGTCCAGCGCAATGGCGAAGGCTTCAGGCACACGCTGCGAAGCCTCCGCGAGCAGGGTCTCCGCGGGCTGCTCCACTTACCGCGGGGCCAGAGCCAGGGCCGGGGTCCGAGCGGAACGGCCCAACAGTCGACTGGCCCGGCGAGCCGAGCCGCCTGCGCCCTCTACCGCCGTGACGTCACGTGGCCTGTAGGCGCCCGGTGTCTCTTGGGAACGGTAGTTTGGAGAGGAAAACTCGCGACCCTGGCGCCAGCCCATTCCCGGCTGTGCCTCTGCTCCTGTACCCCTAAATAAACACCATGGCTCCCTCTGCAGGGCTCCCAGAACTATCTCTGGTCTCTCTGGGCCTCTTTCCTGCTTTATAAAATGGGCACCCTGGGAAGCGAAACGGGAGAGGGCCAGAAGACCCTTAGATGTAAAGCGCACCGACCAAACCCTGGCTGGATTCCTTCCCTGAGGTCCCGTCCTCTCCTTCCAGCTCTTGACTCATTTATGGGAAACCAGACTGCCTGTTTCAAACCTCAGCTCAGCCATTTACCATCTGGGGCAAGAGACTTATCTTGTTCAATGCTTTAATTTTCCGTATTGGTAAAATAAGGATGTATCAATCTTGAGGTTGTGTGGTTATGTCAATGTATATATGTAAAGTGCCTAGAACAGTGCCAGGAGTGGAATTAGCATTATATAAGTGTTAGGTATTATTACTATTATTATTCATTCGTTTATGCCTGCAACAAACACCGATTGTGTCACTTTTCTGTGCCAGAAGAGGAGATTGGGTGTTAAATCAAATAAATAGACCTTTCCCTGCCCTGAAGAGGAAGACAGACAGTTTTGGTGTTATCAGCTGTGAGTAGGGCTGCACAGGATGCTG